AAATATTTTTTGTCCGATTCATCGATTAATCGAAAAAATAATCGGCCGATTCATCGATTTTTAAAATAATCGTTAGTTGCAGCCCTACAATTCACAATGGAAATTTGGTATAATGTAGCAAGACAATTAAAGCTGAAGAAAGAAAGACAAATATTAGGATGGGTAGCCGATGACAAAGACCTCAGGCCAGGAAGGCAAGACCCAACATTTAAATATTGGATCAATAGAGGGCTTACAGCCTTTTGCTATTTAATTAGTAACGGGGAAAAGAGGATCTTAAAGACAAATTCGGACTTGATAACAGAGACTTCTTTCGATACCTACAACTAAGATAATATTATAATAAAGAACTCAAAGATGGAAGTGCGGTTCTGGAGACATTGTGTGGTGCATATCAACATAAAACTCAAACAATTATCTCACAGCTGTGCACTAGCCTGATGTCATGTCAAAAAAATACAACTCTGTAGGGGCGGGTAAAATAACTAAAGAACCGATGCATCGCAATTATTACACGCAAAATTCATAATCGATGCGGGAGCCCCTCAGAATCGATTCACCTCCTGACCGTTGGGGGCGCTGTCGGCACTGTACACAGAGGTGAAGACGGCGTTGTGTTGGAGTCGCTAAAGGCTGCTGAAAGAGTCGCGCTGACCCCTACATAACCATCACTTCTCATTTCATATCAAATGAGTGGGAATTAAGTTTCAAATGTGCTTCAGATCAGGCCGCTTCACGGAAGTCACACAGGGAGCAACATAGCGAACATGTTGATGGAGGCAATAAACAAATCGGGCATAACCGGAAAAGTAGCCGCTGTTGTTACAGATAATGCTGCCAACATGCTAGTTGCTGTAAATATCACTGAGCTATTACATGTTGGCTGCTTTGCCCATGTGATCAACTTGGCATCCCAGGCTGCTCTTAAAACACCTGGAGTCACACGGCTTCAAAAATCAGCATTGAATCGAATTACATCGGACCGTAACAGCAATAATCGAAATCAAATTGATTAAATTAAACTAACAAAAGGAGTAAAAATATCCACCAATGGAGGGGAAAAAAAGCTTCAAGTCAGACATGATCAGAAATTTGATCCGGATTAAAAGAAGATAAAGGGGAGAGGACACCCTGATAGGACGGCTGGGCTCGTATCAGGCAGCGCAGCAGCTCTGCACAGTAATTAGAGACACTTATTGCTGTGGACCGCAGCAGCTGCTCTGCACACACACCACTAATTACAGGCCTGCCCGGTATTTTTAGAGACGCTCCTCCACACAAGCATTTTCATCTCGATTCGGACCGTTGTGTGTCAGTGGGGCCTTTAATTCCATCCAGCTGGTTCTTCCCATGACATATACAGAGACGCACACTCCACCGCCTGCTTCGTTTAACCGTCTTCTCTTCGCTTCAACCGTTTCCACCTTAGAGAACATTTCCTGCAGAGAAATACTTTCAGCACAGAGTCTCCTGAGTCGTTTGTTTACAGAGGCTCTGGGATGGAGGTTTTTCTGTGCTGAATGATTAATTTCAGGGAGCATTTTTCCTCTTTGCAAAGGGAAACCCTTAACATGATGAGAGCTCATTAGAAGCTTGGAGCAGAGACAACTTATTCCCACGATAAAGTGGGCACTGATGGCGGTGCAGAGTCCCGTAGGAGCAGGAGGAAGGAAGCTGCTGGAAGGAGGATGTTTAGCTTCCAGGCTGGCAGAGATAGGCATCGACCCGACGGCTGCCTGCAGCTGAAAGGTTCTTCATCAGCTTCAGTTTGAAACGTTGGAGGTGAAGATTAATCTAACCTGTTATGTCTGAAGGACCATGATGCAACAGGCTGGGTTTACGTAGCCACATGTTAGCGTAAAACTGCAACCAGGAGTCCAGATCTGCAAACACTGCAGCATCAGGCTCTTCTCAATAAGGACCAAAACAACCACCATGTCTCTCAACACCACAGAGGCTCAGTTTGAAGTTTGAGATTTAAACCTTCAGTTGAATGTTTACGTTTATATAAATCAAAATCTTGTGAGAACCACATATGAAACTGAGCTTCTGAGGTTTGAGTTCTGCTTGTTTGCGTCCAATCAGCTTTTCCAGTTTTTACAGCAGGGCTCTTTCTCTCCTAGAATATTGCAGCATAACGAACCAGAGTGTAACTATTGCAGAGCCGTGCTTTTAAATAAATGCACCTGCTTACTTGCACATATTGACCTTAGGACCTAAAGTCAGCGTTTTATTTTGACAGGTACAGTTGTGTTCACCCTGCCAACAGCAGAGGGAGAGTAATATCTTTGAAGAACAGTCGGAGCGGACATGGGAAGGCCTGGAAGGATTCCTTAACAGTGGTCGGTGGTTAAAAATATTTTTCTACTCAATAAAACACAAAGATTGGTGCAAAAGAGAAGAAAAATTAAAATGCTATGCCATACACCCATACAAAGTCGCTTTTTAAATTTGATAATAGGTTTAATAAAGTTAATAGAGTATTTACAACAAAACTGATTTTCTGATGAAGATAAAACTGAGCTCAAGGTTTGTTTGCATCCATTAAGGCTCCTAATGTGACACCAAGCTTAATGCTGTTTTGCAAATGTTTAAAAATAGTTTTTGTCTGTTAATTAATATAAAAATATAAGTAGGAACATATGTAGGAAAGAAAAAAAAGGTGGTTTTCACAAAATCTAAACCAAATTTCTGTTCTTTCTTTTTATATATATATATATATATATATATATATATATATATATATATATATAAATAAAACGCAGCAAAATCCTTGGTCATCATTACCATCAACAGGCTGCAGCCATGTCCCAAATTCCTCGCTTTCCAGCCACCTTTGTTGAAATTTGCATTTCCCCATTCTCTAGCTTTTTCTCCAACTCAAGCTTCTTTTCCATTACGATCAACTGGAAGCAGTTCCGGAACCAGTTATATCTGATATAATATATCCGACAAAGTTATAATATATCCTGCGAGTGGGTCTAGCCTCCATCAATGCCCCAAGGCTCTAGAACTAGCGGGCCAATCACAACGCAGAGATGTGTTTTGAATTTCTGGATGCAAAGTGGGCGGGGTTTTGAGGGCGTGATGACAAAACTGCACGATGCTGGAGAAAGCACAACAAGGAAGATGGAAACAACTATTGAACAGTTGTGGTTTGACTCAGCTTTGAAGGATTAGACTTGGAGTTTACGTTGAAACGTGAGCAGGAAGAGGCTCTACGCGCTTTCATTTTTAAGAAGGATGTATTCGCTGTTTTACACTCCCCCACCAACTTCCTGTCGCGCTTACTACGTCAGTCAGTTGCGCTAATTGGTCAGAGCGTTGGCCAATAGGCACAGACCTGGTTTGAAAGACAACGGGTTGTTCTCATCAACAATCTTCCGATGTCTTAATTATCGGGGCCAGACTAAATAACACATTTAATCTCACATTTAGTCTGGTTAATCAGGCTAGGTCGTCAGGTTTCTTTGTTAGCCCGCAATGCTAGGAAGCAAAACGCCTTCAAACTCGGACAAACAGCAATTAAATCAATCTTCATCAACTTTTATCAAAGCTGCAGACATTGTGCAGGGGTTACTTTTCATGATCAACCAAGTTTCTGGATTAATGACTCTAAATGTTTCAGGTGTATTTCAGAATAACTTCCCAAGAATTAAATTTCCTCAGGAATCTGAGCTTAAGGATATCAAATATATCATCCATCCAAGCTTTAAAGACAATGTTATAGGGCTCATTGAACGTTCAGCTTGTTTAAATCTTCTTTAAGGCACCTTTATATCTTTCAATATTCATTGAAACAATTCTACAGATTAAACAATTATGAAAGAAAGGTTTCATTGCAGCCTTTAAGAGGTTCTCATAAACAGAAGGTTCTTCAGTGATTTCTCTATAAACACAGTGCGGCATCTCCTCTGCTACTAACAACCAATATTTTATTGGTTGGCTGGAGCCAAACATCTTACATCTGTTAAACTTTGGCAGATGAAAATGATTTGAAACAAACAGCATGGGGAAAAAATAAATACAACAGAATCGTCTCTGGATCGTCTCACAATAATCTATGAATCGGCTGTTAAAGAGACGTTTATGGTCATAAAATGAAGAAAATGGGTTTAAAAACAAACAAACATGAGTTTCTCAAGCAGTGTGAGATCATTTAGAAAAAAGTTGGATTTAAGACCTTCAAAGAGTTTTAGAAATCATTCCTAGAGGTTATTAAAAAGGTTTAATCAAATCAGATATTGACTTTTAAATTTGCACTAAACTATTTTGTTAATGGTAACATTTCGAACCAACATGAATAAAAAGTGTCTCCCAGCTTCTCAGACCTCTGCTCTGTTAACCCCCCCGTTACTCACCCAGGTTGACGAAGCTCATCACCGTGTCGGCCTCGCTGACCACCGTCCCGAGCGGCGGGGTGTGCGTGCTGAGGATGGGCAGCGCTGCGTAGTTCACCTGTGTAGCAGCTCCGTACCTCCCCAGGCCCGGTCCGTTTACCATCTCCTCCTCATCGTCGGCCGACATGGCGTGGTACAGGTCCAGCATGAAGAGCGGCGCGGAGGAGGGCGGCCTCAGCGGCGGATGGGGTCTGGGTCGGCCTGGCAGGCCCAGGAGGTTCAGGATCTCCTTCTGCATCTCTTTCTTCTCGCGCCCGCTGAGCCGTCGGAAGCTGGAATGGACCACAGCCTCGGCCTGCTGGGTCCACAGCGAGACGGTGAGCAGGAGCAGCAGCAGCAGCAGCGTGGACCTGGATCTGCTCTGCAGACACCGGGTCATTGTTGGGGAGATCTCCAAGGCCATGAGCCTGGTTCTTCTGCTCTCAGCGTTCGATACGCCTGCTGCAGCTCAGCCACCGCAGACAAATACAGACCAAGTGTTTAGATGAGCGCTGCCTGTGTTTACCTCAGCTCTTCCACCTTCTCTAATCTGAAATCAGAAGGAAAACCCAGCTCTCCCTCAGCTCTGTCACGCAGCAGCAGAGTTGATGAGAGTCAGCATAATTACAAGCTCCTCCAGCCGTGTTTTGGATATAGACAAAAAAATGCCCCTTTAGAAGATTGCTGGAGGCTTTGAAGCTGCAAACGTGAAGGATGGAGAGTAATTTCAGTGATGAGTGGGTGCTGGAGAGGAATTTGGGAGCTTTGTCATTAGGTTTGATAAAGGAGCTCAAACCTGCAGCGAGAGATGAAGAACCCTCCGGAGAGTTTGGATCCAGGGCCCGGTCCACTCAGCTTTAAGGTTCTGGGTCTCTCCAGTCTCTCTGCTGCTCTGTGGACGCTCTGAGTGAATCCTGAGCAGCTGGTCACAAGCAGGAGGGAGTTTCCTTCCCAACCTCTCCTCCTCCTCCTCCTCTTTCAACTCTTTAAACTTCTCTCCCTCTTCATCATCACCCCTCCCAGCTGTCTCTTCAGGAGACCTCATCTGTCCCCTGCCTGCCGCCACCCATCTATCTCTTCATCTGCACTTGGCTGCTTCCTTTCATTTCTGCTCTGGCAGCCTGGTGTTGGTCGATTTACTGTGAGTCTTTTTATTTCTGTTGACCAGCTGTTTGCTAACGGACTTTTTTAAATGGTTCCTGAATCATCTATCAGTCCAGACAAGTTTTCCTGCAGCAGGTCTAAGGCAAACATTCGTGCTCGAGGTCCAAACCCGAAGGACTCTGAGGGAAGAAATGATTAAAATAGAGCAGAGGTTCAGCCCTGCGCCCGCTCATGTTTGTGCTCTCTTCTCTTCAAAGCGGCCTCGGTTCTTGCGGTCTCTTTGAGCGGAACGAATAACACTGACCAAACCAAAGTGGTCGTCGTTCTTTTTTGTCCGAGGCCAAAGGCAAGTGCTCGAAATGCCAGGAATTAATGTTCTACCCGCCGTACTTTGAGCCGCTGCCAACTCCCTGAGGATTTATCAGGAGAGGTGAAGGCCGGGAGAAGAAGTGGAGCACAGAGAGGATTAGATAAAAAAAAAAAAGAGGGAATGTCTGCCCCTGAAACCAGAATAACCCAACAGAAGTTTAAAAAGAGGGAGGAGGCAGTGGAGGACTGCCACCAAGGCTGAGGAGGGGTGAAGATGGATGGAGAGCGGACAGCAAACCAGAGACCTGAATGTACACACAGCTGCAGAGGAAGGACTCAGACCATCACATAAACATGACAGAGTTTCAACTCTTAAACCGCAGTCTGGTGGAGAATTTAAAGCAGAAAATGGACGGAGAGACAAAGTTTCAAACCAACTGCTCTCTGAGCAGAGAAGTGACGATCCAGTCGTTATCTTCTGCTCTCTGAACGCCTCAATTACAGAGAAATGTCCGGCGACTGGCTGCGTGTCTGGGCTCTGCTGTCAGACAGACACACAGGAAAAGGGAAAAACAAATTAACTCGGCTTCCTTTTCACTCATAAATTTACATTTTTAAATAGCTAAACTTAAACATTTTTCAAGGCTGCATTTTTAAAAAGATGAAATTGTCCAGTGAGCCATTTCCAGACTAAATTTCTTTTTGTTTTACACTTTTGTAAACAAAATGACAAAATCTCTCTTCAGTCTCTAAACACTTTAATGATAAACATCAACCTGATAGTACAGAAGAGGATTAGGGCCAGTGGAAAAAAAAGTTAACTGATTTTTTTATTTAATTTCAGTTTAGTATGGGGGAAAAAAATCAGAATTCTGAGAAAAAAGTCAGAATTCTGACTTTAATCTCAGAATTCTGAGAAAAAAGTCAGAATTCTGACTTTAATCTCAGAATTCTGACTTTTTTCCCCATACTAAACTGAAATAAAATTTAAAAATCAGTTCCAAAAGTCAAAATAAATTAAGTATGCATGCAAATACCTGCATTAAACTGCAGAGAGCAGGACAGGCAGGAAGAGCTGAGGTTTTCATTGGCTTCTGGCTTTTTAAAACTATAAAAATGTACAAAGGTTAAAGTTAGGTAGAAGTCACTGAAACAAGAACAGTTTATATTTAAAAATGCAAACAAATAGTTAAATTTAAAGTAAACCTGATTCAGGATTAGGAAACCAAACAGATTGCAGATTATTGCTTAGATAAAACCTATACTTTGGTAAAATTATACTTTGTTACTTTTCAGAGAATATGTTCAAACTGATAGAAAATGAACATTATATCATGTTTTAATACATAAACATTCAAAGAAATATTTTTTGGATAAATTAGTAAAGCTAAGACATAAATGCAGACAAAAAATTGACTTCTATCACATGAAAAATGTTTGCTTTTGACATGATCTATTGGAAGTGGCTAATTTCCATAGGCTACAAGATGGCGGCTCTCGGCTGTCTACAATGTTTGACATCAGTCATTTGCTCCCAAAAACTGTCTTATTACGATTTTAAGCTTTCGTGTGAGTTTTAAGTGGAATTTATTAACTCAAAACATGATTTTATTTTAACTACAAACCTAAACGTCGTAGTTTCGCCGCTTGTAGTAATCAGATATAACCTCACGTGACCGCCAGGTGCTTCAGTTTTCCCGGGCAAATAGTGGAATGCACCATTTTCACATATGGGGAGGGGTGTCCCAAAAATTTGAAAGACTTTTTACTTATGTTAACAGAAATTTGAATTAATTCAAATATATCTAAATGTAAGAATTATATTAACAATTAACTGTTCAGATGGGCAAACTGTCGTAAATTTATGCAGAACACAAGAGGCTGGAAAACATTTTTTTTCTACAGTACACACCCTGCTGGAACAGCTAATAGAGAAGTTTCAATTAGTTATTTTTTTTATTAATAACATTTTATGTAAACAAATGCCTCTTCTTCAAATGTAAACCTTATTGAAAATCCCATTAAAGAATATGTTTTCCCTTTATTATTATTTGCATATTTTTATTATTGTTACCTCTCCTTTTATCTTTGGTGTTCTTCTATATTCACATTCTGTGAATGCTGTTTATGGAGTTCTGTACTGGTACCTGATGTTATGTACAGTGGTTAAATAAAGTTTTAAAAAAAATCTTTATTTTTACATTTCCAATCTAAATAATAAGGAGAATAACATTTATTATCAATTTAGCTATAAAAATAAATCAGGAAATTAATATAAAAAGGCTGTAAGAAATGTCATCACAGCCAGAGGAAGGAGAATTTGGTTCTTGGAGTCTGAAATTGGTCAAATTGGGGGGTTTTATGGGTCCATTGTTTACTGTCATGAAGAGCATACTGGTGTCATGGCGATCTGATATTTGAACCAGTATTAGGAATTTGTCTGCATCAGGCTGCAGAGCTAAAATATTCAGTCCCCTCTATTATCCTGCCACATTTGAAGACATTCCTGCTCCAACCATCTGAATTAAAAGACTGGCGAAGATTTTCAGTCATCCAGGTCAGTCATTCCAAAAAAAGAAAATTAAAAACAATCCACTTGATTTTGTTTCAAAGTTTAAAGACATTTAATTTCCCATCTAGGAAGCTTTTTCAATTCTAAATGTCAGGAATAGCGTTGAGTTTGAGGTTTTATATAGTAGCCTGGCAAAGCCTTGTTTTTGCGTTGAAAACATGCAAATTGAAATGGATGAAGGGGTCCACCCCTTTGGAATGGGGGGTCATTTGGCTTCTTTTGTAAGACTGCAAAGCCCCAGGTCCTCCGCTCTCCTGTACAGAGGCTGGGGCCGCGATGATAGCTGGAAAGGATTAACTCAATTGCTGAATTGTAGGTTTTTGAAAGCTGAAATCTGAGTCCACCCCCTCTGTTTGAGGTTGGTTTTGCTTTCTTAACATAGATGGCTTCCTTCACGCCCCTCTCAAACCATCTATTTTCTTTGTCCAAAATGTGAACATTCGGAGGACCTCGCCTATTCAGCCAGGCCAACAATTCCCTTTAACGACCCCCCTTTCAGGCACTTAGATGGTATGGGGCTGTGCAGGCTAACAAAAGAAGCCAAACGACCCCCATTCCTAAGGAGTGGACCCGTTCATCCGTTTCAGTTTGTATGTTTTCTAAGCAAAAACAAGGCTTTGTTGGGCCACTCTATAAAGCCTCGAAGTCAACGTTATTTCTGACATTTTGAATTGAAAAAGCTTCCGAGATTGGAAGCCAAACGTCTTCAAACTAAAAAACAGAGTCCAGTGGATTGTTTTAATTTTTTTTTTTGGGAATTAAAAGGCTGAATTAATTTGCATGTCTGTTAGTTTTTTTAACAGGCTTGGTCTTTTAACCCGTCATTTGGGTTTATTGGAGCCAGGATGCATTCAGCATCTGCAGATCCATTTAAAATATTGCATCATGTCCACCCAGCCTCAAACCCACAATGTCACCCCTTGTTCATCAAGTGCTGGTGAAGCTGCTGTGTATGCAGTGATGGTTCCCCGGACACACAACTCTTTTCCCAAGGGAGGGAGCCAAATTCCGATTGGTTTAGCAGGTCAACCCATGTTTGAAAAACCTGTGTTACACAAAGATTTCAGTGGGAAATAGGTTTTATTGTGGTAGCAGTATAACTGCTAGATGCCTCAACTGTCTGATAACATCACTAAGATTCTCTGTTGTCCGATCCATTGCCCCATTTACACTACTTTCTGAAAACCGATGCGTGCTGAGCTTGGTTCCTTATGACCATTTGCACCACACTAGCACAGTTCCTCGCCTCCTACTGGCGATCTACGGTACTACTGCTCTCTAGAGGTAAATTCAATTCAATTCAGTTTATTTATATAGTGCCAATTCACAACACGTCATCTCAAGGCACTTTACAGTTCACCAGATCATCCAGTCAGATTGATTTAAAGTTTTCTATCTCAGGTAAACCAGTTGATTGCATCAACTTATTGACTCGGCAAGCAAGCAAACCAACACGGTGGCGCCTGTAACATTCAGGAAGTAATTTTTTGTTATTGTGATATTTCGTTGTTTGCAGAGAGTCAGGCGAAGAAGGCAGCCTTTGATGAATTTACTTGACAGAGTCGGCTTTTGGGAAGTGGATACAACAAACGTTAGTCTAATCGGGGCTTACAGACGCAGGAAACGATGACAGACATTGAGGTTCATCACGCTGCTAAGCAGAATCATCACTGGAAATCATGTGGCAGCTAGGGAAGCTAGTATTTATATGAATGTCTGAAGTTTCATGCTTACAGAGGCAGAACTAAACCCCGCCTAGCCCTACCGAGGAACTAGTGCCATGTTAGCGTGGTTTGGTAGTGTCTGGCGCAGTGTAGTTCATTTGGGCGTGCCATTTACACTCAACAATTATCTTGGTTACCATGCTTGGACCGATTTCGGCACGGTTTCAAAAGGGTAGCGTTAATGGGGTAGCCTATCAAACTAGCCCCACCCGCCAGTGGCCAAAATCATTTCTGCGAGTGGTATAGCCTTGCATAAATGCCCCAGGCTCTAGAACTGGCGGGCCAATCACAACGCAGAGATGTGTTTTGAATTTCTGGATGCAAAGCGGGAGGGGTTTTGAGCGCGTGACGACAAAGCTGCGCGACGCTGGAGAAAGCGCAACAAGGAAGATGGCAACAACTATTGAACAGTTCTCGTTGGACTCAGCTTTGGAAGGATTAGACGTCGGGTTTTTGTTGAAATGTGAGCAGGAAGAGGCTCTACGCTCAATCATTTTCAAGGAGGACATATTTGCGGTTTTACCGACAAGCTTTCTGCCACGCTTACTACGTCACAGTCAGTTGTGCTCATTGGTCAGAGCGTTGGCCAATAGGCACAGACATTGTTTGAAAGACAACGGGTTGTTCTCATCAACAATCTTCTGAAGTCTCGTTCGTTCATTTAGGCCCCGTCCACACGAAGTCAAAACGAACACGAAACGCTAATATTTTCCAGAACGTTTGTCGTAAAGACGGAGACGTAAA